CTATCAGAGACTTTCTCTGCATTCTGCATGTTGTTTTATTAATTTTTTCTCTTCGGCTTAAAACTTATTTATCTGCTTGGAATAGGGTTCGTTACCTGAACAAGGGCCTAACATCCGCAAGTTTGCAAGGGCGTGCTCAGATTGTCCATGATCAATTTTCTGACATTGAAAACCCTGGAGATCTGGTTTTTTATCTGGATGGAGCCCACAGTACCGAAAGCATGGAAGCATGTGCCAAGTTGTTTTCTCTTTGCATTAAGGAAGACAATCTGCAACCTAACCTGAATTATCAGGCACAGGATTATGCTGAATCCTCAAAGGAAGTGGCACAGAAGCATATGGACAAAGGATCTAAGAAGGATACTGCCCGGGTAGAGCACCTGCTTGAGACCACACTAGTTTCCGCAATATTTGAAGCTAAGATGATACGAAAAGAGAGTACTCTGACCTTGCTGAAATTAGTGTTGTTAATGATTGAATACTCAGAATTTATATCTGCATTCAGTAAATTATATTCACTATTCAAGCTTTTCTATTTTAGCAAGTCAAAAGAAGGAATAAAATATGTAGATTGGGGTGCTGATTTTAACGCTGCTTAAGAGTTACGGGTATCAAGGATATCTAAACCTAAGAGGGTATCGCTTGTGTAGAAAGTTTCAGAAGTTCAATGATTGAGTTTACAAGGCTCAAACATAACTTTGAGGCAAAAGTAAACAATATTTTGATAATGCCTGCGCGTCTGTCTGTAAACTGTTATTACTTTTGCCTAATGTGCATGCACGGATATGCATGCAGCATTGTGTCTTCCTTGCTTGGTTTTATCATAACTTTCTGAACTTGAAGTTGTACTTTAAGCATTGGGGCTCCATGTTGGTGGTGCTAAAACGAAGTTTTATGAGAATTACTGTGCAGATTCTGCTGTTCAATTGTATGTAAGTGCGAGATCCGCGGTTGCTTTTGCCACGCTTGATAAAAACGTGTGCCAGTCATGATAATTACTTCAGTTATAGGCATGTTTATATATGTTTTCTTAGATTTATAGAATTTAATAGCCATGTAATGGAAAGCTTCATAAAAGCTTTTGAAGTTCATAAAATTCTGGTGTGCTAGGGGATTGATTAAAATTCAAGTGCTTTAGACAAATTTTAATTGTAGGAGGGAATATATTGCTCTTCCAACATCCTAATGACACAATGAAGGAATCCCATTTCAAATCTGCCATCTTCTAGTCTAGATGAGAATGGTATTGATTTCGTTGTTTTAGTTATATATTAATTTGAACTCTAGAAAGTTACATGTGTCAGAAGAAAAGGACACAATTAAATTGTTTTTAAATTGAATTCTACTTTTAAGGCCTCCCCAAAACAGTCGTAAGGGAAAAAATGATGAAATTAGGCTGAGTTGAGTTAATTAGACCTCAAATTTCTTTGTAGAAAGCGTGTAGGGTTATTATAGCAAGATAAGATTTATCTTCTTTATTTTTTGGATTGAATAAAACATAAGATTCATTTGGACAACAAAACACTTTCCATTTATTGGCAATTGGATAGCAAGAAGCTTGCCTGGAAAAAGGAATTCCATATCTTATTTTAACAAGAATTTAACTGATATTTCAGGTGTCTCTTTCAAGAAGGCACTTTTTGTACCAAACATATCTGTGTATCACAAAGTTGGATCTCATGCTTTACCAACAACTGATCCTCAAGTTGATTTGTCATGGCAATTTGCTCTTCAAAGAGTGTGGGAAAACCTTATGCAGGGTGATAAGGGTATTGGTCTAATACTTGGCATCACATTCTTCTTATGTTTCAAAATTCATAGGTTAGAAATTGTGTTAAATTTCATAATTTTAAACTAATAAACGCTTCAACCTCCTGGTAGTAAAAAGTTGAGTTTTTGCCATAGTCTGATTTCTTATGGAATTTACTTGCCTTCGGTTCAAGTTCCATTGTCTTTCTTCAGGATATAAATGCATAGATTTTAATTATGATCATCAAAAAATGTGCAAAATTATTGGAGACAAGGAGCATTCAAGGGTGGTTTTTTTCAGTTTAATTTATATCGTTTGTATCCTTCATTTACTAGGAGGGGATGCCGGTAAGACAGATCAAGTTTGTGAAGAAGTGAAAGATGATACAGGAATGAGCGTTAGGAGTTGTAAAAACAGTAGTCTTTTCTTCTCTACCATTGGCTCATGGACACTGCCCAGAAGGATCAATTTGTTCATTTTCAGGTAATGCTTGTTTTTTGGGATATATTTGCTTGAGATTATATGGCCTGCTGTTGCAAATATTTTTCAGCCACTTATATAACAAGGATAGAGAACCATAAATTGAGTTCCTGGCTTAATTCTCAGAACTTGGTATCCTAGCTTGTTTCTGATGAGGTTGTTGAAGTGTAGCAAGTGACACCTTGAAGGTTTTTAGAACAGAGAGGGCTATGCATGAATTGAGCCTTTAGATGACTCTTGTTCCTTTGAAACATTCTTTTTGATTACAGAACACTGAGTTGTCTCTGGTGACAGTGAATATTTTTCTTTTGAGGTTGGAGAAAGAAATATCTTTGTTGACAAAACTATCGGCTGAGTTAGCCTTAATATATATTTTGGTTGGATGGTTAGAGACTTGTAGCCTATTTTCTTGGGAATACTTGGTTAGGCTTAACAAACAATTTCCTCAAAGATGTAGCTGATCATATTCTATTTTATGTAGTCGTTTGGATGAAATTTCCTTGCAAAGATAGACGAAACCAAATCCAGCCATGCTGTTAGTAATTTACAATGTTTAAGAGAAATGGCAAAAACTTAACTATATTGTCATAGTGCATCTGTTGTTGATCAGGTCTAATTGAAAACATACTGAGGTCATGGCTTTGCTCTAGATTACTATTTTGGTGTTATTTTGTGGGTTTTTATAATTTTCTTATTTTGATTGATTAGGTCCTTCTAACTGGTTCCTTGCATCTTGTTGGTGATGTCTTGAGATTAATCAAGAAATGAGGCTGAAGCATCCCTTGCGCTTGTAGTGCGTCCTATATCTATGTTAGTGCAACCGACAACATTGTCTTTTCCAAGTGAGGCAACTGCTCCCGTGGTTTAGAACTGCCTGCTAATGAGCTTCCAAGCTGTCTGTTTCTGGGTTTGTCAAGTTAGGTATACATTTTCGGTAATGAAATTCGAAATTGGCGTAACTTCCTTGTGCAAATGAAGTATTGTTTTTGTACCAGTTGAGACAAATACAACAAATCATTTCAATTCACTTTGAACAAAAAAATTGGTGTCTGTAATATTTTGCCCCTTCCAACCAAGTATCATGTTCTTGTTGCTGCAATGTTGTGATAGCTGTTTTTTTATTTTTTATTTAAATGAAAATGTCTTTTGACTCCATGTTGCCTTACCTATAGTGGGAATGGGGGCCATAGGTAAAGACCACTCTTGCAAAGAAAGTATATATCACGATGATTTCAACAACCAAAGACAAGGGAAATTTTGCTTGGAATTTTGTTTGAAGTCCTAAAGAAGAAACAGACCTAATGGAAGTAATGCTTCAAATCACTTGGTCTCTAATTATATAAGTTCATGATTAATTATTGGAAGAAGAAACAATTGACTTCATTTTGTAATTTTCAAACAGTCACATTGTAAAAGATAGATAGGAGTAACATAACAAAAATGCTAAAGCAATTTTCTTTGCTCTCAATTCACCCCCAAAAAATGAATAATTGCCTTTTTATTTTTTGATATTATCAGTTATCGCCGATGACTTTTGGGTCTTCGATATGGGGTTGAATTCAATCGATTTTGTAGGACAAAGTACAGTGGAAAAGAAAGTAAAGAGGTTGTTTCTTTTCCTTTAGCTTTTCCTGTCCAAGGTGAAAGTAAGCACCACAAAGACAAAGGTTCTCAACTTTTGATAGAGATACCCCAGCTCAATACATAGAAATTTAGAATATTGTGCAGATACAGGCGGATGAGTTTGAAAGAAATCCTAGAGAAAGAAGAGTAATTTAGACTCTGTTTTCGATCAGCAGAAGAAATTGCAGATGCTATTGTTTCCTTAGCTACTGAAAGAATCTCGGATTTACGCATTTTCTTGGATGAGAAGTTGATAGCCTAAAGGCTGCACTCAAGCGGATGCAGTGCTTCTTGAAAGATGCTGACCATAAGCAAGAACAAGACGAGCGTCTCAGCAATAAAGTGGCGGAATGCTGAAGATGTTATTGATACCTTCATTCTTAAAGCTGCACATCAAGAGATTCACCTCCATTTTCACCAAGCCTTCCCATTCGCACAAAATAGGGGTGCAGGTCGAAGCAGTCCAGACTAAGCTTGAACATATTTACATGTGTTTTCCAGCTTATGAGATATCTGGTGAAGGACTCTATTCCCATGATGCAGCTGCAGTTAAGAAGTACATACTCACTTGCTGAGGAAGAGGATGTTGTTAGCTTGACAAGGGATGTTTTGGCTCGTTTGATGACAGAACAAGAGAGACTTCATGTTGTTTCCATCGCCGGCATGGGGGCAAGTGTAAAACTTAACCACTCTTGCATATATATATATATAAAATCATGTGAAATGACATTTTAATACCAATTAACTGTTAGCTAAGTAATACCGGAGTCAATTTCAAAATTAAAAATCTCATTCAAACTCCAACCATAATCCAAAATACAAAAAACGACATTTTAATTGTTTGGCTCGAGCTTTTATACCTGAACAATGTATGTCTACAAGTTTTGCATGATGTCCTGATAGAAGTTCTCTTCTTCTAAAGTACATATGCTTGTTAAGTCTTTGTTGTTAGATATAGGGTTCTTACCTTAGGAGATCACATATTGCCATTATAATGCTGATTATGGTGAAGAAGTGAATTGAATATAAATATTCGTTATTATCTTTTTTTTTTTTGTCGATAAATAAATATTCAAGAAGTTTTCAAACTCTTAATGAAATGGTTTTTTTTTCTTCTTTAATTATTTAATTTAATATGCCACTTACATTGCGTTAAAAGTTGTTGATGACATTAGAGCGCAGCTTGTAATAAAATGAGGAAAGTAAAATACATAAGCAGAAATATTTTTATATAATATGTAAATTTTCAATCAACGTTGACACACGGAACTCGATATTCATATCACTCTGTTAAAAATAAGGAGGAGCTTCATTTGTCAATCAACTGAGATTTATTTATATATTCATTTTAAAAACCAATCTTTTAGCCCCAAATATTTACGCTTTTCATTATGTCAATTTTTTTTTGGTGATACTTTTATCCATTTCTGTACAAACAAAAGCCGAGAAGCAATTTTACTTTAATATGAAACAAGCCTACTGATAAGGCAGAAATCATAAAAAAAATAAAAAATAAAAAATAAAACAGGGAGGTGATCAAAAGAGATTCACTGACCGGCATAGTACCGCTATAACTTGGTACTCAAAGCATTTGACGAAGTTGCTGATTTTCTTTCCTTAGAGACTTAACCTCTTCTATCAGTTCAGCTTGGTTCTCTAAAATAGAGCTCATCACACCAGACATTTCCATCTGTTGCAGCAATTCCATAAATTAGAGCTGAGAATATTCACGTGAAAGCCAAAGCAATACAAAGAGAGATGATAAGCAGATACCTTCTGCATGTGGAATTGTCTTAAAATTTCAATATGAAGGTTCCTCGTATCTCCATGAAGGGATTTCTGAAATGAAACAAGGGTTTCTTCAAAAGTACCTTGAAATAGCTGAACAGTAAATTTACTTCCCTGCTGGGGATCCAGTTGAGGAGCCTTGTGGGGTTGTAGTGCTTCACCCTATTAGAGTCAGAACCAATCAACTATCATGACCGAAGAAAACTACTAAATCATAGAAATTCATAAGAATCCTTCATCATGAATGCCTTCACCATTTCACTGTGTAAATGACGGAGTATTGCAAACAGTGAAACCATTCATGATGAACAAGCACGAGGATTACTAAAGCTAGACCTCCACTCTAAAAGCAATCTGACATACAAGAAAATAAAATGTAGAAACCAACAAGTTATTAACCAAACCAGGTTTCATACATTCATAGCCAGCAGAATTCCTGATTCCATTGCAGCCAATGACTCAGACCTCAACAACAGGCTACTCAACAGCTCTTCTCTAGTTTCAGCTCCTGTTTTCTTTGTTTTTGGAGAAGCCACCAGGGATGTTCCATCACTGAAGGCAGATGTAGTACTAATTCTCTCAACATATGTTGAGAATCTTCAAGGTTGTAGATACCAAATTTTATCTGGATCTATTAGATGAGATCTCGTTTTAGTTATTTATTTATTTATTAATATTAAAATTATGAATTAATAATAATAATAAAATTATTAAATAATAATAATAATAATAATAATAATAATAATAATATTGGTTAAAAAAAAAAAGAAAGAGTTGGGACAGGGATAGGCATGGTGTCGTGCACGACATCAGCTTGTCCAATCACTTTACCACCACCATGTGCCCCATCAAACCCTACGCCAGACACCGACTATACCTTACCAGTGTACTCATCTGCCTTGCATAGCACCATACCCATGAAACTCATACCTAGAGCCCCTACACCTCACCAGCCCCAACTACCCAGAACCATTGACCTTACTCTATCATGGCACCCATACCTTACTAGGCACTTACTCTACCCACTATCCCAAGCGCCTAGCCTTATAAAGCACCTAGCTTCCTCTCCTTTCAACTTTTTCGGACACACATAGACATAGACACAGACACAAGCACCCAAGATTTTTTACACCAGGAATACCTCATCTCCCACACTCAGAAACCTTAGCTCTCCCACACCCAAAAACCCCAGCTCCCACACCTAGAAACCTCAGCTTTCTCACACTAAAAAACCCAAGCTTCGTACCTAAAGACCCCCAGCACCCATCAAAAAGCAAAGAAAAACAAAAAAATAAAAAAGCAAAAACCAAACAATCACAGACAGTCCTTCCCTTATGGAAGAACCTTCAGCGTCGAGTTACTTGCAAAAAACAAAAAAAAAATCATCAGTTTTGGTTTATATATATGTATATATATAAAAAGAGAGAGAAAGAAAGGAAAGGAACACTAAGGCTTCCAACCATGATCTACGTCGATTAGGGCTGTTCCTAGTGAAAGGAATATTGGATCTGAAAAGAGCATGTTAAGGATAATTTTTTGGAAGTTTTTGGCATTTTTCGGTCATTGACGACCACCAACAACAACAACCATCGACGACGACCTTAGATGGTAGCCGGTGTAATGGCACGGCACTGGATTCCGGTGAGACCAGAGAATTTCTTTTTTGGAGCTGAAAATTTTTTTTCTAAAAAGAAGATGAAATGAACTAAAAAATAGTTGGCTTTTATATAAAAGACTAGGACAAAAACAACGTCGTTTTGGGCAAAAGTGAGGATTTGCATGTGCTCATGATGCAACCAGAGATCCGTGCAACCCGACCCATCAATCTGTTTCAACTAGCCTTTAGTCGGTTTAGATGAACCACCAGTGAACCGATTTGGATTGGTCTGAACTGTCAAATCACTAAGTTGATCAAGATGACGTATTTTAACATAAGGTGGTTAAATTCAACTATATACTTCTCCACTGAGAAATCTCTTTGCTTCAAGTTATAGAGTCTCAGGTAGACATCTTGCTAAAAGTTGTCTGAGAGATACTTTCTCCTTAACTCTCTTTTCATTTTCTCTCAAGTTATAAATTTTTTCCTACCTTCTCTTTCCCTTTGCTTTTTTAGATTTTTCCACTAAAAGGATGTATGCTTTTTGAGTTTGATAGCCACTAGCTTTACCTTATGATTTTTAGAGGCATCATAGTATTCAAATATATATTCCACCATGTGTAACTAATCTAAGAATTCTTTAGGTTGTATCTTTCCTTCAAACATAGGAATTTTTATCTTCGAATTGAATATGCTAGGTTGAAGTTGATTTCTACGTAGATAATCTCTAACTTGTCATGAGTGAGATAATGTGCTATTAACAAAATTGCTATTGTTTTTATGGTATGGATTGGTTTCTTTTTCATCTTTTTCGTTCCTCTTTCGTTACCTCTTTATCTCTTCTTTTTCTTCTTGTATATGCATATGATGTTATAGTTGAAGGATCTATTACTGTATTTCCTCTATGAGGGCATCTATTGGGTCAATGTTGGTAGTTACTCTAACATCAGTGTTGGCTTCAACTTTTTCTACTGGTGTTTGACGATGATAACCTACTATAACTCTAATACCCATTTGATACCGAGAATTGATATTTGAAATATGAAGATTAACTGCAAATAGAAAAACTCATAAAGAAGACAACTCACAAGAATTTGAATAATGATAAAATATGATTATTGGATTAAAAAGGATAAAAGTTCATCACCAAAACTAAAAATTAAGGGATACAGAAACACCATCATAAGAATTTTAATCAAGGATACAGAACAATAGAAGTTCACCACTCTAAAAAATCTACCTAAAAGATACATAACTTGAAGAATAATCTAAAAGATTATTTAAAGATAAAGAAAACTCTATTTTGCCTTCTACCAAAGAACAATAGAAAATATATAAGCTAGGAACATCCCTCCAAACATGAAAACTTTTAGATTGCATTGCTAGAATCGTGCCTAAAATTAAAAGATTTGTATGTGAACTCATTTACTCTTACAGATTACATAATAATGAATCGACTATAATCCTATCCATATTTATGCTTTATTTCTCTAACTAGTGTGAACATAATTTTTCTATTTTAGCCCACCTTATTTTTATATTTATTTAGTGAATTTGGACCAAGGATAAGCCCATCTCATTTTTGGATAAGTCAGCTTTAGTCTCAACCAAGTTGTATGATGTGCAGACATTCTAATATTATATACTTTTGCATATTCACTCACATGCATGAGTTATAGACCTGAGCTTTTTTTCTTTTAGGAGAAAGTAAAGTAGTTACATTCTCGTGAGATGATAACATTCACATTTGCTAGCGAAATACTTTCACTTAGATTGAATCCTTTCCGTTAGTAGCCTATAATGGGTGAAGATTGAGAAACTTTACTAGTCATAATAGGTAATGATGTAAAGAATAATCTAGGAACATTTATACACATAAATTTTAACCTGATATATAGTGAACCGTAAGGCCCAACCTTAGGATAGAGCCATATCATCCTTTTCGAGAAAATTACCTAAAACTCAAACACTATGTATATTCTGTTCTGTCATATACTATGCTTGTTTGTTTATTTATTTATTTATTTTATTAACATTATTGACTTGTTTAATTCTTTTCTTGCTTTCAATTTTGTGACATGCATCATATAGGTACATTTCTTATAAGGGTATTGTTTTGGGCCAATTTGTAGCATGAAAAACTCTTATGAAACCTACAGTGGTATCATCCATGTGTAAGAACTACTTAAAGGTTAAGAGCCAATAAAAAAATAGTCAAGAAAAAAAAAGGGACTATTTAGCAAATGGTTATATATCAACGTTGTCGTAGTCAGTGCATATGGATCTCAGTCAACATGACATATTAGAATTAGAGGTTATTTGGAAACAGTGAGAAACAGAGAGAAATGAATCTTTTTCCAAAAAATACAGGGATGTGGCACTATTTATGTTGGTAAAGATTGATGAATAGTTGATTATAGTAGTACAATTATGGGATCCATCTTATCAATGCTTTGTGTTCAACCAAGAAGACTTCGTCCATATAATTAAAGAATATTCATCTTTACTCTGGATAAAGTCTGTTAATCAAGACAAGATCTATTGGAAAGAACAAAAGACTACTGGATATAGAAAAAAGTTAGCTAAGTTTATACAAATAGGGGTTGATGAGATAGATAAGCATAAGAAGGAAAAGAACGGGGTTGAAACATTTCATCAGTTTTTTTTTAAGCATATAAAAAAGTATATTGATACTGATCAGGGGTTGGATGTGTTTGTTTTGGCCATGTATGGATTGATGATTTTTTCAAAGGTATTAGGACATATAAAAGCATCAATGGTTGACTTTTTTGAGCAATTGGATAAAGGTATAAATCTTTCACTGACTATTTTAGTAGAGACTAGTAGATCACTTAATTTTTGTTGAAGAAAGGGTAAAAGGTGATTTATAGGATGTGCTCAGCTACTTTTCATTTGGCTTAGAAGTCACTTTTTGGGAAAAGAAAAGATATCATTTTGGCTGTTCTCCATTCATTTTGTTTCTATCAAACAGTCTATTGCTAAGGAATGGTGGAGGGAGTGGACAAAAGGTTAATAGATGTCGTTCTTTCTAGAGTTTACCAGTGAGGATGTAACATGAAGAGCACCATGGATGCTTCTTATGACCAACTTGTGTAGTTATAGAGATGAGCCATGAGTACCCTTATTAGGAATATAAGGGATAGTGAGTTATGCACCTCTTATGATTCAACGACAATATGACTCGCTATAGTTCATCACTATGACTCATGGACTCAGTTCACTCAAATTTGATTATGGGACACCTGGTTATGTGAAAAAGGTCTGCGAAGTCATCAAGGTATGAAAGTAAGTTAACCAAATAAGCCTAGCTAGATTTATAGATAATATTGTGGGAAGTCACCTTGCATGGAGAATGAAAAAAGGGTTAATAAAGTTAGGCCTTTACTAGCCGATGTTTCAAATAAGTTGCCCACTCCCATTTCAAGGTCAGTATCGTTAACTTTTGAGATCGCCCAATGGGAGTTTGAGATTGAAAGAAAAAAATTAGAGAAGAAAAAGATGGCAATGATGGATCAAGTCAACCAATTGATATATAATTTAATGATAAAAGATGATACAATATAGAAGTTGACCAATGAACGAAAGGTATTGTAAGAAGATTTACAAGACCTTCATAAAAAAAATAAGAAATTTAGGTCAAACATTAGACCTTCAAGGGGATCTAAGAAGGATATGGGAGAATCAAGAGAGATGGTGGAGTATTGGAAAAATATAGCTCGTGAAAGCAAGAAAGTGATCTTTACACTTATCAAACAACAGCACATATGAAAAAAAAAGTTTTCGAGAGCTTTTGAAAAGGTAGCCAAGTGCCAAAAAGAAAACGAAAAGCTAAAGGTAGAACTAAAGAAGGAACAGTTAAGGAACTCTCATTTGTAAAATAAAAAAATAACTTTAGAGCAAGAATTAATGAGTTTGGAGCTTCAGTTGACCAATAATCAGAATCATATAGACAAGATTTTAACTACATGGCAATAGAAAGAAGATTATTAGACACGCACTTGTAACATAGAAATGGATGCTCAAGAAATGTGGAGAGCAAAAAGCCTAGGTAGACAACAATACATAGAACATTTGACCGTTTAAATTTACAAGGCTGTCTGAAAAGCAGGCAACATAGTCAAAAAAATGAAAGCACTGAAATGGGAGATTGTATCGACCCAATGCCACAATCAGAGATTATTGAATTTTCTATGTAAGGCTAGAGAGCAATATGCTCAAATCAAATGTTTTTATGGTTTTAATGCAAGGATGATCGGATGATGTATAAAGATTCCCATGGTTAATGAAAGTTTCTTTTTACTCCGATTGATCCAAAACAATATCCCCAATTTGCATTACATTCATTTCATACATGAATTTTAATAAAGGTAAACACTAACAACAATAATAATGATATTATATCATGCGATTTAATTCATGATTAATAAACTAAGATTCAAAGATAGCAAGGCCAAAAAAGCAAAGTCAATCAACCTCGTATAGGTATAATACTCATTGTCAAGCTTGAGTTATAGAGGGAAAAAATACAAACAAATTTGAAAAAGTCAAAAGGGCACAAGAGGAAATAAGAGAAAAAGTATTGAAGAAACAGCAACGTGTCAAAGCACAGATGGTTGGATTAAGACAGTTAATGTTTAGTTCATTGAAAGGTAAATGAATCACTGGTGCATCAAGGCTAGAGGAAGAAGTTAATACGGAGGAGCCATTATACCTTCTAAGATTCATTTCGTCTTAAGCTTAAGTTCAAGCTCCTTGTGGCATACATGTGCGGCTACCAAGTGTGCAACTATACCCCTATGTTAATCATTCTACTAGCCAACAACAAATCCACTTGAATACTAATCCAGGATCTATTCCAATTGACCCTACTATGGTACCAAATCTTGATGACCAAGTTGAACAAAAGAAGTTTCATGAAATGTCAAAGCCCATTATAAACTCAGAAATACGAAACAAATATGATCAACTTGAAAAAAAGCTCAAAGTAATGGAAGATAATTATATCTATGTGGTTATTGACGCTAATGAACTTAGATTGGTACCTGACTTAGTTATCTTGGCAAAATTTAAAATCTCAAATTTTGAGAAATACAATAGAACAAAATGCTTTCTGCTTACCTTATCATATTTTGTTGAAAGATGACGAGTCATACCTAGAATAACAAACTCTTGATACATTATTACCAAGATAATTTAATTGGATCTATAGCAAGATAGTACATACAGCTAGATCGGAGTTGAATCTACTCATGGAAAGATTTGGCCAAAACTTTCATTGCCCAATATAAGCATGTCCTTGATATGACCCTGATAGGCTATTATTACAAAATATGAAGGAGAAATAAATGGAAACCATTAAAGAATATACGCATTAGGGGAAAGATACGACGACCTAGGTCCAACCACCACTAACTGAAAAGGAGATAACTATACTATTTGTCAACATATTGAAAGCCCCATACTATGGCAAGTTAGTGGAGAATGTAACGAAAAACTTTTTTATATGGTAATTTAGAGAGAAATGATAGAGAACGCTATTAAAAGTGACAAAATTGAAGGGCCCGAAAAGAAGACAACAAATTAAAAAAAAAAAAAAAAAAGACACATGCAATCACTTACGGAAGTCTCTCACACCATCATTTTGTTCCATATAATCCAAACCTACCATACGCTTTCTATTACCCTACGACCAACCAAAATATTTAACAACCATATTATTATCGAGCACCCCAACAACCACTACACAAGCCAAGCTTTAATCCTCAACCATCTAATTACACCCATGTCCTTCCAATTCAACCATTTACCCAACCAAACCACCAAAACAATAACAAAAGAAACCCACAAAATAATAGTCATAAGAAAAGACATCATTTTAACCCAATTTTCATGTTTTACACTGATTTTTACCCTCAGTTATTGAGAGGCCACCTCATCGCCCTTACCCGTATAACACCATTAAAGTTATTTTACCTAAGTTGGTATGACTCCAATGCCAAGTGTGATTATCATTATGGTGTTACAAGACACTTTACCGAAAACTATATGGCATTTAAACATAAGGTACAAGGTCTGATAAGTGATAGGCTCGTAACTTTTGACACCAAATTCAAGCCAATTGTCAATGAAAACCTTTTGCCAGATCATACCAAATGAAAGATTAATATGATGGGTGATGGAAAAGACGTAAGGGTCAAAAGATGAGTGAATGGAATGAGAACTCCTTTTAAACAAGTGTATGACTATTTGTGTGAAATAGGCAGGATCCAACTGCTATTTTTGGTTGATAGTGAAAGTTATAAGGGCCTCGATTAGTTTTGTATGTATCATAGAAGAATGGTCAGACATCCAATCCAAAGTTGTGAAGCCTTTAAACAAATATTGCAAAGCTTGATGTATGTGACCATCATTGAGTTTTATGATGAATATGATGAAAGGAGTGTGAATATGATGGGTGATGAGCATTCTAGCAAGTCTTTTATCCCTAACCTTTTACGATATACTATGATGAGAAATTGAAGCCCGTAACTGAAAAAGCTATTCCCTTTTTCTAAGACACTAATGACTATTTATATCCCTAGTCCATCCCTTACTAAACTGATAAAACAATCCCATAGAAATACGACTATGATATTGTGATGCGAGGACTTGATATGACTTTAAATAATCCAGGTATGGCGAATACTGCAAACATAACAAGTATAAAAGGGATGACTCGAAGTGGTCAGTGTTATACTCTTGGGATATCTGAAAAGGTTAGAAAGGGAAAAGGTAAAATAAGAGAAGAAAACATAGGAAAAAATCGAAGTTCTCAATCGATGGTAAGCTCGAAAGTATAAATCAACAAACTAGTATCAAAGAAAAAAGCTTGTGAGTTCTTAAATATCATTAAGTATAGCAAGTACGTTTGATCGATCAGCTGAACAAATTGCCAGCTTGTATTCTTTATTGTCACAATTGTTGAATTCTGAGCCGCATAGGAATGTTTTGTTGAAAGTACTCAACCAAGCTTATGTTGGACATAATATTTTTGTTGAGAAGGTAGATCATATAGTTTGGAATATTATAGCCCTGAATTTCATTACTTTTAATGATGATGAAATACCCTCAGAGGGGCGAAGTAGTGTTAGGGCCCTACACATAACTGTTAAGTGCAAAACTCACATCATAGCTAAAGTATTGATTGATAATAAGTCATCCATTAATGTCATGCCTTTGGTGACATTGTCAAAACTACTAGTGAACCTTTCCCACATGAGAAACAACCATATGATTGTAAAAGCTTTTGACGAAGCATAAAAAAAGTGATTGGCGATATAGAGATTCTATTACAAATTGGCCCATGCACTTTCAATATCTCATTTCAGGTGATGGATATAACACTTACATATAGCTATTTACTAAGAAGAACTTGGATCCATACCACTGGAGTCATACCTTTATCCTTACACTAGAAGGTAAAATTCACCATTGAAGGGAAATAAATTTGCTTAGATGGTAAAAAAGATTTGTTAATGACCAAAACCCTGACTACTCCTTATGTTGAAGCTAAGAAAGAGGTGATCGAATGCTCATTTAGGGCTTTCAAAGTAGCAAATGTTACTTATATTAAAGAAAGATCAAAGATACCAATCTCTCGACTATCAAAGACTACAGGTATGGTAATCAAACAAACGATCAATAAAGATTAGCAAGTAGGACAAGGTTTGAAAAAGTCTTTACAAGGAATCAAAAAAGAATCGAGCACAACTAAAAATAAAGAGAGATAGAGTTTATGTTATAAACCTATTGCTGCTAATAAAAAGAATATAATGCAAGAAAAGAAAAAAAAAATGCCACGCCTCAAAAGTATGAATCAGTTGATGAAAGAATGGTGTTCCCCTATTTGTATGACATTTTGCTCTGGTGGATATGTCCATCCTGGATTGTTAGAGGTTGAAAAGAGTGAGTCAATGATAGGATTAGAGGAAGCCTTTTCTTAAGTTTATATTGGGGCAGATGAAAAAAATGTGCAAAATGAAGATATGTTCTTTTTTCCTTTCCTAGGTTAGGAAATCCAAGAACGATGCACCATTTTCATTTTTCTTAAACCGTTCAAACTTAAGAATTCCAATTGCTTCTACCCAAGAGTATGCAGAGGTTAAATGTATGGACTTATTTTCATTGTTTTAATAAAATGATGAATGCAATGCATTTCACATATTCCATGTTCTCTTTTTTTTTCTTTTAATTGCTATTCGCCTTACCCTTGCCAAAATCAATATATATATATATATATATATTTCTTTGTGATTATACCCATTTTTAGGTCTTTTAATAATGAACATTATGGATGACCAAGGCAATAACGTTGGGATTGATTTTGAAAATTCGATTCACATTAGTGAGCTTGATAGCAATGTTGACTTAGAAGACTATGATTTGCCTCATAATCTGTTAAAATAGTTAGAGCAAAAGGAAAAAATTATAAAACTCCATCAAGAATCTACTGACTTGTTGAATTTGGAAGATGGTGAGAATAAGAAAGAAGTTAGGATCGATTTTTTATTATCACCAATTGAGAAACAAAAATTGGTGAATTTGTTGCAAGAATATGTAGATGTATTTGCATGGTCCTATCAGGATATGCCCAAACTTGGCACAAATGTGGTTGAGCATAGATTGCCTTTAAAACCAAAATGTTGATCGATATAACAAAAGTTAAGATGCATAAAGTCAAAAATATTGTTGAAGATAAAAGAGAAAGTAAAGAAGCAATTTGATGTAAGTTTTTTAGAAGTAGCAAAATACCCTGAATGGGTAGCCAATGCAGTTTCAATTCCTAAGAAAGATGAAAAAGTTAAAATGTGTATAAATTATCGAGATTTAAATAGGACCAGCCCAAAGGATAATTTTTCATTGCCATATAATGATACCCTTGTGGATAACACTGCTAAGTACTCTACCTTTTCATTCATGGATGAGTTCTTTTACTATAACTAGATCAAAATGGCTCATGAAGATATAAAAAAAAACTACATTCGTAACCATGTAAGGCATATTTTGCTATAAAATCATGCCTTTTGGGCTAAAAAATGCTGGAGCCACATATAAAAGGGCGATGGTAACTCTTTTTCATGATATGATATATAAGGAGATAGAGGTGTATGTCGATGATATGATAGCTAAGTTTAAAAAATGTGAAGATCATGTTGCTAATCTCAAAAAATTCTTTGAAAGGTTACGGAGATACCAACTTATGTTGAATTCGACCAAATATATCTTTGGTGTTAAATCTGAAAAATTACTAGGGTTTATAATTAGTGAAAAAGGTATAGAAGTAGACCATGATAAGATTCGAGCCATTTAAGAGTTGTCATCATCGTGTACGCAAAAGGAAGTGAAAGGCTTTTTGGGGTGATTGAATTATATTTCTCACTTTATATCTTAACTCACCTCAAAATGTGATATAATCTTTAGGTTGCTTCGTAAGAATAATCTTAGTAAATGGGATGAAGAATGCCAAAATATCTTTAAAAACATTAAAGAGTATTTGATAAGCTCACCCGTGTTGGTACCACCAATTGCAAGAAGGCCATTGATTTTATATCTGACGGTGTAAGAAAATTCAATGAGGTGTATATTAAGGCAAAAGGATGAAATTGGTAAGAATGAGCATACTATCTACTATTTGAGTAAAATGTTTATGAAGTATGAGGCTAAGTACCCTTAAATAGAAAAAATATGTTGTGCCCTAGCTTGGACTACTCTAAACTCAGGCAGTACATGCTCTATCATACAACTTAGCTGATATCGAAGTTAGGTCCCTTCAAGTACATTTTTAAAAAATCGTCTCTATCGAACAAGATAACAAGATGGTAGGTCATGCTCTTGGAATATGATATTGTGTATAAAACACAAAAATCCATAAAAAAGAGTGTAATAGATGATTTTCTTACTGATCAAACTATAAAAGATTACGAGCATATGAAGTTTAAGTTTTCAGATGAAAACTTAATAGTGATCTTACAAGATAAAGATGAAAAGCCTATATAAAAAGTGTGGAAGATGTTTTTTGATAGAGCATCCAATATAATAAGACATGGTATTAGGGCAGTGCTAATATCCCCAAAAGGGAAGTATTACCCTTGTACTACAAGGTTAGACTTCAATTGCACAAACAATATTACTGAATATGAAGCATATGCCATAGGTTTGCAGATGGCTATTAAAAGAAGATTGAGACAATAAAAGTATACGGGGATTTAGCCTTGGTAATTTATCGAATAAAAGGCAAAAAGGAAACCAAGGACTCGAAATTAGTGTTATACCAAAGGCACATAACTAGCTTGATAAAATAGTTCAAAGAAATCCAATTTCAGCATGTTACTTGAAAAAAAAAATCAGATTGCTGATGCCTTGGCTACTTTGACAGCAATGTTCAAGTTAGATGACAATATGGGAATCCAACTCATCAGAATACAAATAAAAGATTCACCGACCTACTATTCGAATGTAGAAAAAGAGGTAAATTAACAACCATGGTATTATGACATTGTGTAGTATATCAAATGCCAAAACTACCCTAAGTAGACCTCAAAAAAAGATAAAAGGATTATCTAAAGATTAGTAGCAGGTTTTGTGCTTGATGGAGAAATCCTGTATAAAAAAAGTCGAGACCAAATCTTGCTAAAGTATGTAGACGCTATTGAAATAAGAAGATACTTAAAGAAATACACAAGGGAATTTATGAAACACATGCCAAAGGGAATATAATAGTCAAACAAATTATGAGAGTGAGTTACTACAAGTCTACAATGGAAAATGATTACATTAGTTATGGCAAAAAGTGCCATAAATGCCAAATTTATACAGATAAAATTCATTCCCTTTTAGTCCCATTTCATGTCTTAGCACCACCATGGCCTTCTCTATGTGAGAGATGGATGTGATTGGACCTATAACCCCGAAAGCTTCAAATGGACATCATTTTATTTTTGTAATAATTGACTATTTCATCAAGTCGGTGGAAGCAGCTTTGTATGCCAATATTACCCAATTAGTGATGTGCAAATTTATAAAAAGAGAGATAATATGTCGATACAGGTTCCTAAAAAAGATCATCTTAGATAATACTAGCAACTTGAACAATAATATGTTGAAAGAATTGTGTTCACAATTCAAGATAAAGCATCATCATTCAGAACCATATCGCCAAAAAATGAATGGTGCCGTAGAAGTTGTGAACAAGAACATCAAAAGAATATTGAAAAAAATGACTGATACATATAGAGACTGGCATGAACAGTTACCCATTGCCTTACTTGCATATAAAACATCCTTTACTGAAAAATCAAATTAAGTATGCCATGTGGTACTGTAAATCTAATAAAAGATGAAAAAGCATAAAACCTGTTGAGACATTGAACTGGACTTCCAATCAGATATTGGGTGATCACTACCTCCATCTGCAAAAGCAAAGCTCCTGCTAGAAGGAAACAATAAGGAAAGCTTCTTATTAGTGAGTAAATGCTCTTTCTTTACACCCTCATGATCATCCCACAGCTTATCCAGTGATGGTGTAATCGATTGAACATCCACATGAGGGGAAAACACTTCCATATCATCCTTGAAATTGTATGTAGAAACAAGAAGCATGTAATCTCGTCAGTGTTCCTCCTTGACACAAATGGCTTTTATGTGGTGTTTCTTCAGAAGAAGAAAGATTGAGTGTGCTTAACACTGATCCACTACTACTTGTAAGAGAAGATACTACTGCAGGACCTGAATGGCCAGTGATATGAGAACCAGAAATTGCTGTGGATAGTGAAAGGCTTGATGATGTCACAAATGGAAGTGGATCAGGCATAAGAATTGAATCCTCCACTACACCTCCCAAAAGAGCAGTCTCAGCAGTGCATGTACTCTCATTAACGATGGCTGGTTTTGATCTTTGCTAGCATAAACTTGAAACAGCCTGATGGATACTATATACACTTAGTATTTAAAATGATTTAAGGAATGAAGGTTCTTAACTTTCAAATTCATAACTGAACAATAAGATTATCATTAGTCTGTTCCATTTATACAAAACTCTTTGAAGTTGGAGCACAAACAAGCAAGCAGTTATAACCTATGAGACATCACTAGTACCATTACAGAACAGGATCTTATATACTAATATCATTCGAAATTCTACATCAAGTTAGATTCTTAAGGAAAAAATAGAATTTGGAAGCGACTGCAAATGACAGTAAATTATTATGATCTGGCCTTTTTATATTAAAAAGTGATACATAGAGGGAAAGAGGACCGACCTCTGAACTACTATAAGCACAAAGAACAGTAAAAGGCCATAGTTTCCCCGAATATTGTAGAATACAACTCTACCATTACTGGTGCCAGCTGCCAGTGTCCGACCATCATCTCTAAATGCCAATGAAGAGAAAGGTGCCTCATGAGAAATGAAAGATGAGGGTCTTCTAGACCCTGAGTCATAAGTGTACAGCTTTTTATCCAACCCAACAATAGCAATTATCTGTCAAAAAGGAAAAAGAAACTTGAAACGACAGAAATTTAACAAATATTTGCAAGATGTCCTGAACATAAAAAGCTTCATCTCAAACTTACAAAAAAGCTCAACCTTACCTTTAATTAAGCCTGAAAGAGGAGGAAGAGAATAAAAAGAAATACTGAGACCTTATCATTGGATGGTGAGAAGCTAATGCCCGCTGTGGGAGCAGAGTGCTGCTTCAACCAGGAAACCTGCAAAAGGAGCAAATGGAATTAATTATGTGTTTAAAACAGCAAGAATATTAAAAGAGAGAGAGAGGGAGACAGAGAAGAACCTTTGGGCTATAACCAGTGGTATCCCACAAATGGATAGATCCATCATCACCTGCAGCTGGCAAAACATGTCGAATAATCCGTGAATAATCAAGTACCCTCAATACCTGGTCTTAACATCCATCAAAGGAAAATTAGCTTGCAAACAAGAATTAGAACTTAACATAAGCACCTGAATGCAACAATTAAACAAACAGTTCATTAGGATCTTTTGTTCAGCAGCCCTCGCTCCAGATGCAAGGTTGTGAAGAATAAGATCCCCACTTAGGCTGATGAAGGCCAAGTGTTCATCTTTGCCGTTGTACATAACACCTGTAACCATCTGATGCAACGCTTCCCCTGCAAATCCCATATTCTTACAACTTGACCACTTCCCCCTGAACATATGTATCTGGATCCCTTGTTGCCAAAGCTAAATAGACTCCTGCAAATAGAAGGGAAATTTTACTCGATAAATTTACTAAGAAATTTCATGGAAATAATAGTAGAAAATAAGCCTTGAAAACAACTAAGGAATGGCATTAATGAATAACCAATTCTGGCTGTCAAGTCATAAAAACTTGAGGGTTTGGTTATGCAAATGAGATCGCAATACATATACATACATGTGTGTATATATATATATATTGCATAAAAACATTATAGCATCTAATTTGAGGAAATGGACATTATTCTAGTGCAATGCAAAGCACCAAATATTTGAGCAACGTTGTCCATCCATACTACTTAAGACACATCCTCCTCTCTTGCTACATCCCTACAATGATGCTAGAATCATATAGTGCTTCTATATACAGATAGCCACAAGCGCTTTTGAAGAGAAATCAATGATATTTTGTTCACTGTTACTCCTATACAACAGACAACAACACACTGCACTTCCATATTGATAAAGGAGAAACTTACAGATAGCACTAGAATAGGGACTCTTACATTACTCTCTTTCGTTCATAGTTGAATCAAATCACAACAAGATTTAATAATCTATAATGAGTGTCATTCACCATATTTGTTAGGTCTCATATAACTTCTATTTCATCATGTACATATTTGCAGTTAAAAACCTTATGACAAATTTCAAATGTAACATGATATACGTGGAAATAAACATTATATTGCATTCCAAAAGTTTACAGCCGCAAATAATCAAATAGAAGTACTTCAATAAGATTCAACAGGTTTTGTTTATAGTTAACAATGTATTAAGCCTAGAGAATGATTACCACAATGTTATCTCCACTATCAGTCCCGGCAACAGGAACTGTCCCCATATTCTGCCCATTTTTCCGCCACAGCGATATCTTCTTATCACCTCCAGCACTCGCCACCACTAAATCTACCATAACATTAACTCAGCTGGGATCATGTATATAGGAAAAAAAAAAACTCAAATTCTCAGCATAATTGCTAAAATTAAATCTTAAATAAAGTTCTAAACTTTTAAAATTCACTTTATTAAGCTTAAACAATAACTTATTCAGTTTAATTCAATATAAATTATTCATTTAAAAATACAAACTTTAATTTAAAAAAAAAGCAGATAAAAGAAACCACATTTACAGCAACCTAACAGATGGTAGCAACAGAAATGGGAGAAAAAATAGAATTTTATTTAAAAAAAAAAAAAGCTTACTAGTGGGGTTCCACTTAACCGAGTTGACAAGGAAACTCGGAGAAGGCGAGTAACTTAAAACGCAAGGATCGTTCGATTCAAGCTTAATGTCGAAGATCTTCACGGTGTCGCCGCCGCTCGCCAATAGTAACTCCAGCGACGGATCCGGTAGATTCATTATAATCCTTTTTTGAAAAAGAAAATGTTAAACAAAAAATATTTTTTTCAGGAAAATTTAGCGGATAGTTAAAAGGAAATGAGAAATGAGGATATTAATAAAAAAAATAATTTGGAAATTTTTTATATAATTGGAATTTGGTGGCTAGAGAATGAGTGTAAGTCTAAACCCGACGGGAAAGTACACAGAGAAGGGAAGAGGGGCGAAAAAAGTTTCAAATTGGCGTGTAGAAATGATGGAGTGGGCGCCTTTGTACTTCATTGTAATTATAAGCACTTTTCGCTTTTTTCTTTTATTTCGTATTTTATTGTTTTTTTATTTTTATATTTTATCCTTTTTTTTGTTAAATATTCTAATATATTTTCATTGTCTTTGCCAAACTCTGTATTTTTAAAAATTTTAGTATGAGAATTAATTAAGAATGGAATTATTAATATTTTATATTTCAGTCTAAAAATAAATTTTTTTAATTAATATGTATTTATGAAATAATTATTTTAATTTATTAATAATTTTTAAAATTATACCTAATTAAACATGAAGTAAGATGTAAAGATAATAACAATTCGGATTAAATGAAATTTATAATACTATAAATTTTTTAAATTTAATTTGAATTTGAATTGATTTTTTAAAAAATTTATCCAAATTGAATTCTACTAATTCACTTTATCAAATTTTGAAATTTAAATTTTTTATATATATTATTTTATTATAATTTTTAATATATTTAAATAAATTTAAATATAATATAATTATTTTTATTTTATAAAAATATATGCAAAACTAGTAAAAAATATAATTTAATTTGGTTCATTTTTTTTTAATTTTTATATCCCAATTCGAAATTTAATTTGAACCTAATATATATATTAAATATCCAAATTTAATCCAAATAAAATAAAAAAATTGATGTAAATCAAATACTATAATTTTTAATTGATTTTTTATTTTCTTAAACTTTTTTTCACCTACAATAAAAAAGCATGTATTTGAATAATTTTCTTTCTTGAAAGAAAAAAAAAAAAAAAAAACTCAACCTTAGGCCTTTTCTTAACCATTTTTATCTTCGTTAAACCCAATAAATTAAGCCCTTGAGACCAAAAAAAGGAAAATAGCTCAAATTATATTTTCTTTGAAAAAAAAAAAAAAAAGCTCAAATTACACTTAATTGACTCGTATCACAACTAGATCACGCTTGGTAGACCAGAGGTAAAGGTACAAAAGATATTAGGTTAAAGCTTGGAGGAGGATCCTAACCAATTCATCTCTACTCTTTCCTTCTTGTTATTATCTCTCATTCTTGACATATATTGACTTGAGCCTTAAAATGCATCTTAAACTCCTAATTCTAATATTCCTTAACCGTTTTGTCTTTGACAAATAAGACAAATTCACTAACTCAACTTCCAAATAACTCTCACCAACACAAAAATATTCGTACACTAATCATAAAATTATGTCTCTCTCCTATTCTCTCTAGTCTATCTATAAGTCCAGATCTAAGCATGACATAGAACAAGTTTTAAGCTTACTTTGGTCCATCCCTACTCAAAATAAGAGTCTAATTTTATTACTTATATCCGTCTATATAACGAACTTAAAATTTATATTCAAACTTTTTCAAATTTCAAATAAACTTTCTAATTTGTATATATAAAATCAAAGACATAACAAGTACAATTCTCTTTTTAAGGAAAATGGGAAAGAACATGAAAGATCATTATTATATTAACATATTTCGAGAAAAAATTCTCCTGTTGATAAACTTTCATCAATCCATTAAATTAAATTTCTTAAAAATGACTGAATAACAGTATCCCATTCGAATGGTTGTTCTAAATTGTAAATTTAAAGTTGTAAACTTAATTAGTTATAAAATAAGGAGAATAAGTTTGAACTACGGACCCACAAAGTTTTGTCCTGCTTCCTTGGTACGATCTTTGCTAAAGTCATCTTTGATGTTAACAAGACGAGCTTCTATCGGAGAATAGACACCAGCATTCTAATATAGGATAAAATCAGGATATCTGACTCACTCATAGAAGGACCATCAACAAGAACATCAACAATTGAATCTGTTCTGAAGATATCAAATTTTGTAGACCTCCCCATCTTTTGCCAGTCATATCAATGATTCAGAAAGCGACTCAGACTCCCTTTGGATGGGTCGAGTGCATCCAAAAGGAGCCTCAATCTTCAACTAGCACTGGAAATGCTATCTTATACTTTTCGGGTAATGAGACATCTATTATGTTCCTCAAAGTCTGGAGATGAACAATGCTCCATTAAAAGCATTAACAACTAAATCTCCCTACGTTGAACTGAACAAAAATTATAAAATTGCAAATAAGGAATTAAAGATGCTACACTTGAACATTACTCATTCATAGACCAAGAGAAGACTAATCCTCGAAACAGATTAATCATAACATTTGAATGCACCTAATTATATTCATACAAACAGCTCAATCAGTGAATAGTCTGGGAAAAACCAAAAATATTTAGAAGACAGATGCGGCCATTTCTTTTGTTCCAACAACTCAAAGCACAACCACGTGCTGCCAGACCAGATATATCTACAAATGCACCGCAGATTAACTGCTATAAAGAAAAGATAAACGGAGAGGTGGGAGAAAGAGAAGAATAAGAGAAATACACTTGTGGTTTACACTACCCTACAACAGACTTGTAAAGCTTTTTACCCAACAAATAGTATCCATAAAGTCGTCACCTGCATCTCCATAAGCAAAAGTTCTTAAGCCAGTGATCTTCAGCTTCAACCCTTATTAGGATTTCATATAAAAAGGATAACTACATCACAGAAAACGAGAAATAGTAAATCATACAAAGTAGCAGTGATGGTTGGCACGGCATTTAATAACCAGATGAATAACAGACAATGGTAATAAAAAAAAATGAGAAACATAATAAACAATTATAGTAAGCATCATATGTTTTCAAAGGGAAAAAGATCCATTATTCTGAATTTCGCCCTTCAGACAATAACAAAACTAAAACCACATTACCAATCACCAATATTCTTAACAACCAATAAGAGAGGAAGACATTGGAGGAGAAGAAAGGTGGCAAGAGGATACAGAGGATTGGGGGGCTGATTACTAAATTATGCTATGGAAAGAATATCATTTCCATTGATTCTTCTCTATTACCAGCCCTCATTGACATTTGAACATTCTCCATTAAACAACCCTTCAACCGGAAACTTAAGAGAGAGTGAGAGATTTGAGAAGGTATTTTCTTTTGTTTTTTGAACTTGGATCATCAAATGAAATTATGAGCAATTTCATGATTGGCATGACAAAAAGAGCTTTATGATAACAATCATTCTGATAATGATTCCACATTACTTCCACTGAAAAGCTTATAATTACAAATTTTTTATTAATATAAAAAACGTATTCAACTGCACTAGATACCTGAAAATGCATAAAATTTCTCAAAGAATATCCAGAGGGAATTAACAAACAGTATTAATCAGTAAGGACATCATGTACCTTCTTACCCGTACTACATATTTGCCATGGTATATCCATATGTTGCAAACTAACAGACAATAGTACATATATTAAAAACATTTCATCAGCTGAAGTCATTAAAATGATTTATTCCGACTCTCACAACTGCATAATTGGAATACAGTTTATTGATATTTATAAATAAGATATCCGTTGCTAAGCAGTGAGCACAAACAAAAGCACCACCAACCATAAAATTATCAGTAATAAGAAGTAGGAACAAAAAAGCAACTCTATTCAGCTTACCTTGGTCAAGTCTACATGTAAGCCACTACACATTGATAGCTGCAACCATCACATTTTAGTGGACATGAACTTCGCTTTTTTCTCTGCTGGTTTAAGAATCTGGAAAGAACACATCAGGTTTTCATCCACACTCATCATGGCACCAGCATTATCAAATTCACCACAATAGTTGGGTGCTGAAAATATTGTAACAAGTTGCCTATCAGCAAAGAATTCGTAACCATCCTCCACTACCTACATCAAAATAATAAGTTCAGAAGTAACATAGAACAGCATTATATAGATACACGGAAAAGTTTAGACAAGTCAATAACCTGATGTGCACGGCAGACAAGATCTAAATCATGCTTTGTTAAGAATTCTGACACCTTCTCTGCACCAAAAGTGTATGAAACTCCTCTGTCATTCATTCCCCATCCCTTAACATCTCTATCAGGGTCAGACCAGAGCAAATCACACAGCAAACCAGTGTCAGGAACAGCAGTTGGACGAGATAAGCTTCTAATTTGATCAAGGTTTGTCAAGTCAGGGGAAAGGCCACCATGCATACACAATATTTTGTCGTCAATAAGAGCCGCAACAGGAAGGCAGTTAAAACAATCAGTAAAGCTCTTCCAAAGTCTCACATTAAACCGTCGCTTGCATTCATCATAAAATCCATATATCCGATTAATAGATGCACATTCATGGTTCCCCCGCAATAGGAAAAAGTTCTCTGGATATTTAATCTTATAAGCAAGTAAAAGACATATTGTTTCCAAACTCTGCTTGCCACGATCCACATAGTCGCCAAGAAATAGATAATTGGCACTAGGAGGAAAACCCCCATACTCGAAGAGCCTTAATAAATCACTATATTGTCCATGAATGTCACCTAAAGGCACAAACAAAAATTTTACAACTAGAAACAATAAAATACAGAAAAATGATGGTAGCACTAAAAGTCCCATTGGACTCATATCCAATGTTTCATTCCATTTGAGTATACTATCATAATCGAAAATGTTGTGTGCAGACCACATGATTTTTAATTGCTTCATATATTTTCCCACAGCTTTCAGCAATCAAACAGTAAAAACAAACAACAGCAACCAAATTACCCCCACCCCAACCCCTCCAAGAAAAAGGTAAATTAGGCTCAAAAAAAGAAAGGTAAAATTCAACTCTATCTGGTTCAGAATTATCAACTATTGAAACCCCATCAAAATAAAAGAATCTTATTCCCTCAACACTATATTTCAACTCTTATAAAAATGCAACCTTTCCAACTGTACCACAACCTATTTATCCACACGGGTTTCCCCTAAAATACATTAAAAAAAAAACTCAACTTTCCTTCAAAACCCACAAAATATTTTCTCTTGACAAACTCCAAAAAAGAAAAAAATAAAACGCAAATTTATACACAAAAATCAAAACTTAACCCCCCCCCCCCCCAAAAAAAATACTCCAAAAGTTACCGCAAATTTTAATGGGTGCTTCAAGTTCAAGCAAATTGGGCTGTTGAAGGAAGATGTCTCTGGAAGCAACACAAAGCTGCTTGATCTCAGTTTCAGATAGTTGCACTTGTTTCCCTGGCCTGGCAGATCGGACTTCCGTCAGCCGTCTGATTATATCATCCAGTACCGTGGGGTCCATCATCACCGTCTGCCCTTGTGTCGCGGCCGCCATTAGATCCTCCTCCTTCAACGGCCCTATTTTAACCAAGCCCTAAAAACCCAAAAGCGCAATAAAAAGTGTTTTCTTGTTGGAGGGTGGAAGAGTTTTGCGGAACAGTATTTTAGAGGAAAAAAAATAAAAATATTTGTTTTATTAGGGAAAAGTGTGGGAAAGATAAGAGAAAAATAAAACGAATTCTTAATTACTGAAAGGGTAATTTGATTTTTTAATTTTTTTGAAGAGTGAGAAACTCTACTCCTGATTTCCTCTTTTTCAAAGAAACAGGTTTTTGAAGCGATGTCGTTTCTAAAGAGTTATTGTTTTTAGACTGTTTGAGTCCGGTTCATAGGCAGCGACATGGGCTTTGCTTCGAGTTTAAATCACCCATTCAACGTATGGCAAAAAAAACAAGAAAACCCATTCAATGCGATGACCATTTGAGTGTTGGGTCCTTTTTAAAATTGTGTACAAATTAGAAAATTTTGTATGCAAAATTTTAAAAGTATTAAGAATGATTTTTTTAAAAAAGGTTTAATATTTTGTATTAAATCATTTTCTGAAAAGGACAAACTAATTTATTTTGTTCAAATTCAACTTGCAACATTCTATAAAATTATATCCTATACGTCATGAAATTTTAAAATTTTACAAACATCATTAAAAATGTTATATTTATAAAAATTCATAAATTGGTAAAACATTAAATGCACATATGTTAATTTTTTAATTATGCTTATAAAATTTAAAAACTTCGTTATCCCATATAATATAATAATCCTTGTTCCTATACTATCATCATGCCAAAATGTTTTTTATGTAAATTTCTTTGATGTTTGTTGTTTTTATCATTAATCTTAGTTATGATTTAAAAAATAATTTTTTTTTATTTCTATGCTTTGTTTATATTGACGGTATTTTTTTTTTTGGAGGAATATGGATGACATTTCTTGTTGTGTTATCTTATAATAAAGAAAAAAAAAGTATTGACAATTATATGATTTGTTGGTAAAATATTAAATTTTTAGTTATAGTGATTAAATTTTTAATTTTGATATTATTAAATATAAAAAAAAATTATATTTTTTTAATTTTTTTTTCTTTTAAAATGTAAAGAAAATTCCCTGCCAATGCCATTGATTCAAGTGGAGTAGTGTTAATTACTGTTAGAAAAGAGGGAAACACAAGAAAAAAGCAGTAAAAGCAAAAGAAGCGGCCTCTCCAATTTTGAGCACACCATTGGTGGATTGGTGGTTAGCATTAGTGGAGGTGGGTAGAATTTCTTTCCTTTTTTTCTTGTCAAGTTATGCAATTGTCCACTACTTTCAATCCTTACTCCTCAGCATTAATAAGAAAAAAAAACGTGAAAAATGTCATTATTGTCAAGACAATATTGTAATTTAGTTCTAGGTTTTTCTTTACAAACATTCATATTTAATTTCTTAATACTAATTAAATGACAAACAAATTACCAAGGCTGACTATTTAACCAATTAAATATCAAGAGTTCTTTTTAAATAAAAAATAATTTAGTTGGTAAGAAGATAATTTTTTTTTCAATATGTATTTATAAAAAATTTTAATGTATTAAATCGAATTTACAAATTACAACTTTAAAATTTCTTTAGAGGATATAAGTTTATACAAAACTTAAAATGCTCACAATCTTATTATTGAATAAGGAGAGATCCACTTATATCAATATAAAATTTTTTAATTTTATATTTTTTTAACAATTAATTTTAATAAATCCAAAAAAGAAGAGAAATAAATTAGAAGAAATTATCAAATACATTGATAATGGAGTTTTTTTTAATTCTACAAGCAGTATTTAGATGATATATGTTGCTTAGTATATATTTTTAAAAAATTAATTTAAAATAGAAATGATACATGTGTCATTATCTTAATTTCATTTATAAAATTAAAAAGTTTTATTGTTAGTATATTAAATAATTTTTTAGAAGTAAAAAAAAAAAAGAAAGAATTTAATCTTGTTTTTTGGATCTATTCAAATCAATGATTAGGAAAATGTAAAAAACGTAAAAAATTTTATATTGATGAAAATTGATTCTTTTTCTTTTATATATATATATATATACATATATGTGTATATATATATATATATAAAGAATTCTTTTGCTTGCTAAGGCATATGGGTAGCCTGGTTATTTTTAAATGGCTTTTTTCATTTTTGTATTTTCTTCAATCTAGTGAAAAATTATCAAAATAAAAAAAAATGAAGTGCAAATTGCAACAAAATGACGTGGATGTTCCGCTATCAGTGAGGAAAGATGTATTCTCATCTATTGGAAAACCTTTGGCAAAAGAAGATTAGAAATTTGGTGTGTATCCCAATAACAATAGCTAAAAAATTATTCTATTGTTTAAAGAAACCTCTCTCTAACGCTTTTCTTTCTTTTTTATTATTTATTAATTATAAGAAAGAGTACTTGCTTAAATGAATCTTGAATGGTTGATCTTGTTAGAAATTCCATCCATAAGCTTCAAACATGTTTCTAATATCAATTGTTAAGTAAAAAATTTCAATTCAATTAAATAATTAAGTTAGCAAAAATGTATTTAAATAATTAATCAATCATATAAGAACTAACAATTTAACATAATTTAACCATATTATGTCTATGAATAAAAGAAAGATCAATTAATTATCAAAAATTACAAACCTATAATCTTTAACACTCAATCCCAAACAATACCCATTGACTCTCTTATCTCATTTAGTCTTATAGAATATTTTCAACTCAAATAAATACTAACACATACATTTAGACCTTTGTAATTTCTTTTAATCAACTCAAATATATACATAAATAAGAATCCTCTCAATCTCTTCAAATCTTATAAGGTGTTCATCAAATAAAATTTTATAACTCTTTTACATATTTGTCTAGCTTTATGAGACTCCATCTGTGTATAAGTACACCAATTTAAGTATTAAGAATCAATTTTTTCTTAAAATTTTTATTTTACAAGTATTTTGATCCATCAAACTACATTTAGTTAATTTTATCTCGAATAAATCTCTATCCAAATCTCATATAAGATTTGAATCAATCTCAACATATTTGTCTTCAATCTTGGTGAGTTTAGAGATTCAAAATTATATAAGCAACATGGGAATTAAATGATCATGATGTATAGCACCTAATGCCACTTAGACTCCGTTTGTTTTACAGGAAATGCTCTTCAAAAAATGATTTCTGAAAAGTATTTATATTTTTTGAATTGAAAGATATTTTCTGTTATTTAAATGAGTTAATGAAAAATATTTTCTATTGTTTGGTTGTTTTTTAAAAAATCTATTTTTTTTCAAATAATATTAATATAATTATTAAAATATTAAAAATTATTTATTATTAAAGTATATTGAAATTATTTATTATTAAAATATTAATATTAAAAAATAATTATATTTTAATAATAATATTTAATATTAAAATATTATGTTAATGTAAAAAATATTTAAAACAAAACTATTTATTATTCTTTATATTATTTATTAATATATTATAATTTATTTATTGATAATATTTATTAATATGTTATTTATTAATATATTAATATATTATTTATTAATATAATACTATTTATTTATTAATATAATAATGTTTATAAGTAAAATTATGCTCAAAAGTATTGATAAATAATTCTGTTCATAGACAATTTTTTTTCAAAAAATATCTTTTTCTTTTTAAATCTGTAAAACAATTTTAGAAAAATAGCCTTAATTTCAGTTTACCAATAAATCATTTTCTGTTGACCAACCAATTTTCTATCGAACAAATACTTGAAAATACGAAAATTATTTTTTGAAAATCATTTTTTGCAAAACAAATTGAGCTTAAAATCTAAAATTTGTCTAAAAATTGATTAATTATATGATCTAAAAGTGTTTCTATCCAATGGAACACGCTTTTTTTTTTATCTATTATTGATAAAATTCATAATTATTTCGCATAATCTTCTTAGTACCATATAAAACTAAGAGTGCGCTAAGTTCGGGGGAATCCATAAATTTTTTTTCAAAATCTTAATGGTGGGTATTTTTTTTCATATTTAGTTTAGGGTAATCTAATTACGAAAGAAAATGTTAAATTTTTAACAGTACCCAAAGTCTTGGAATCAGAAACCCATTTCTACCTATGGTATTCTAAGATTTTGGGAAAGAAAGTTACCTTATTTTCGAATTTGTCTTGAATAAAAAATTGATCACATATCTATTACCCTTTTGAAAAGCAAATCTAGAACTCAGTTGTAGCTTTTTTTCAAAAAATTTACCTTTTTTTTTTAGTTTAGTTTTATTTAGTAATCAATTAAGGTGTTTCTTCCTTGAAACACCTTAATTGCTATACATCAAATGTTTTTTTTTTTAAACACCTTAATTGATTCCTTGAAACGCCTTAATTGCTATATATCAAGCGTTTCTTCATTTAAACACCTTAATTGGAAGAAACGCCTTAATTCTACATATTAAATTGATCTTTGGGTTTCGAGGACCATGTTATGACATGATTGATTTTCAATCACAATTTGATAATTAATTAAGTTGTTTTAATGGAAAAATGCCTTAATTGATAATCAATTAAGACGTTTTTTCCTAGAAACGCTGTAAAAGAGAAGTATTAAATTTTAACTTTCCTTCTCAATTAAGGCATTTTTTTCCTTCAAACGCCATAATTAAAATTTTATTTTCGTTCTTGAAGATCATATTCTAACAATATAAATGTTGTAATGTCTAATCAACTTCAGAAGAACTTATATTTTATACATCAAATAAGGCATTTCTATATATGAAATGCCTTATTTGATGTCTTTATCATGTTTCAATAACCAATATGTTTCTAATTTTTATTTCAACATATTTGAGCTCAAAGTAAATACCTTTTCTATTTGAACCAACTTTAGTTTCAACATCCATAATTTAATCTTCGTTCCATTAAGTTTATCTTTAATTTTTTCAAAAAATGGTATGTATACTATCGATATCTAATTATCTGTTATACATTATTTGTTAAATTCCAATCTTTTCTTTTTTTGTTCATCTTTTTAGATGTTGTTTAGATTTGGATTGAAACTATGTTGATATATCTAATGTGTTTATGGTTTTTTTTTTTAGCTCTATCATCCACAAATGTTTTGTTGCTTATTTATATATACTTTTTTATGTTTGATAGATTTTAGATACCATATGCAAAGATTTCTTTCTAATTATGTTTTCAACTTTAA